CATTACAGTTACATGATTTGGGGGTTTCTGAAGAGACATACTTGGGCAGAGACTCAAAAGGGTAAAAGATCAACTACATCAATTATTAGCAATGAAACACCAGGCCCCATATTTAAACTTCTCTGAACTGGTTTCTTGTATATAAAATGCATTTGTCAACATCTACCTGGATGAGACTAAAATGAAATTATGTCTGAATGAGATTATAGTCTGAAAATTATAAAGAACTATAAAAAATCAGTTATTTGTATTCTGAACTAATTTTATCTCATTTGACACCTTGTTTTAAGATTATACTAGGCTATATTGTTCTTAGTATATTAAATAATAATGTGAGGCTGGGTACGGTGGCTCACGCCAGTAATCCCAGCACTTTGAGAGGCCAAAGTGGGCAGATCACGAGGTCAGGAGATAGAGACCATCCTGGCTAATAAGGTGAAACCCCATCTCTACTAAAAATACAAAAAATAAAAAAATAAAAAAATTAGCCGGGTGGTGGCAGGCACCTGTAGTCCTAGCTACTTGGGAGGCTGAGGCAGGAAAATGGCACAAACCCGGGAGGTGGAGCTTGCAGTGAGCGGAGATGGCGCCACTGCACTCCAGTCTGGGCAACAGAGTGAGACTCCATCTCAGAAAAAAAAAAAAAAATCATAATGTGGATGTTTTCCCACTGAAATTGGTTCCCTTATTTATGAATAAAATAAAATCATATTTGAGTATAAGAAAAGAAAAATCTGGCCGGGCGCGGTGGCTCATGCCTGTAATCCCAGCACTTTGGGAGGTCGAGGCGGGGGGATCACGAGGTCAGGAGATCGAGACCATCCTGGCTAACACAGTGAAACCCCGTCTCTACTAAAAAAAAATACAAAAAATTAGCCGGCGTGGTGGCGGGCGCCTGTAGTCCCAGCTACTCGGGAGGCTGAGGCAGGAGAATGGCATGAACCCGGGAGGCGGAGCTTGCAGTGAGCTGAGATCGCGCCACTGAACTCCAGCCTGGGTGACAGAGCGAGACTCCATCTCAAAAAAAAAAAAAAAAAAAAAAAAAAAGAAAAATCCAAATTTGCTCTATCCTACAAATATTCTGTAAACAAACCATGAATCTCTGAATGCATGGTGTTCTTGTTATTATGAGTAATTACAGTAAAACTAACGATCAGAACCTGTAAGATTGCTCACACGCCCCCCTCACCCTACCAAATGCACATACAAACAAGGCAGAGGGGAGACCTGATCAATTTGGCTGGCAAGAACTTTATCTATGGGCAGTAAAGATGGTCAAGTATGGGAATAGGAGGTGACTGGGACTTGGACTTCTCTTCTAATGTTTATCCGTGACCTTTACCAGCCCCAGAAGAATAGAATAATTTGTTTAAAAAGTAAAACAAAGGAGCTGGGTGCAGTGGTTCATGCCTATAATCCCAGTTACTCAGGAGGCTAAGGTGGGAGTGAGTACTGCTTTAGCCAAGGAGTTTGAGGTTGTAGTAAGCCATGATTATGCCACTGCACTCCAGCCTGGGCACAGAGTTGAGACTCCCTCTCTAAAACAAAACAAAACAAAACAAAACAACACTGTTCAAAACAAAACAAGGGAACTATGACATCCCATAAGAACACAGAAGCTATTTTTTTTCCTGGCATTAAAAAGAGGCAGCAATAATCCCAGCACTTCGGGAGGCCAAGGCAGGAAAACAGCTTGAGCCCAGGAGTTCAAGACCAGCCTGGGCAACATAGGGAGACTCTGTCTCTACAAATAATAATAATAATAATAATAATTAGCTAGGCTTGGTGGCATGCACCTGTGGTCCCAGCTACTTGAGATGCTGAGGCAGACGGATCACCTGAGCCCAGGAGGTTGAGGCTGCAGTGAGCCGTGATTGCACCACTGCTGCACTCCAGCTTGGGTGACAGAGCGAAACCCTGTCCCCCCCCCCCCAAAAAAAAGATGCAAAGCAACTAGCCACATCCCAAGGGAGAACTCAGGCATCTATTTGGCAACTAACAGAATTTTAAAGTTACTCCCTGTAACCACTTTCAACTGAAGATCTCAAAACACTGTGTAAACATTAACTAAATCTCTCAAGTCAGGAAAGAATTAAGCCTATTTCAGATAAGAAAAATAAGGTAGGTAGGAGGCTGTTAACAACAGGAATCAGAAAGGAAACTAGACTCTAGTATCTTTGGCTTTCTCAATGTTGTCCTCAGGCTACACTTAATGAAATGCACCCAAGCAGCAGCATCCTCAATAATGGGGCTATGTTGATAAGCCAATGCTTTTTAAAACAGGGGCTGAGTGGAAGGAACATTGGCCTTGGTTGGAATTAAGACCCCTGTTCTAAGCCTGGTTTCACCACTTACTAGTTATATGACCCTGAACAAGTCATTCAATTTCCTTAAACTTTGGTTTCCTCATTTGTAAAACTATATCAAACCTATCTCACAAGGTTGTGAGGATCAAATTAAATTATATATGCCTGGCGCACAGGTATTGAGAGGCCAACTTTCTTTCCCCAAACTCCACCTTAAGTCTGTAGATGATACATATTTAAAAATACATAGCTTATATATATTACTATACATATGATTATCATTCTTTTAACTAATTAAGAAATAAAATCTGGAGGATACTAACATAATACTTGACTAAAATAAGAAATGGCCTAATTTTTTAATAACTTCCAAATAGTTGAGAGTTGTCACCAAGCTTGAAAATTATTTTCTGTGCATTTTTATTGATGTGAGCAAAGACAGAAACTGACTTTAGAAAAATTTTAAAAATGGACGTTTTCCAGAAAGATGATCTGCCACATTTCTTAGAACTCAAGGAAACATCTCAGAAAGGAGTTAATGTACTATTCCAAAATTAACTATGCGGCGGTTTTTTTTGTTTTTTTTTTGAGACGGAATCTCTCTGTCACCCAGGCTGGAGTACACTGGCCTGATCTCGGCTCACTGCAACCTCTGCCTCTTGGGTTCAAGTGATTCTGCCTCAGCCTCCTGGGTAGCTGGGACTACAGGTGTGCACCACCACCCAGGCTAATTTTTGTATTTTTAGTAGAGACAAGATTTCACTATGTTGGCCAGGCTGGTCTCGAGCTTCTGACCTCAGGTGATCCGCCTGCCTTGGTCTCCCAGAGTGCTAGGACTACAGGCGTGAGCCACCGAGCCTGGCCTGTGTTCTCTTAATATTCGTTTGGTTAAAAAAACAGATCAACAGTATCTGTAAAACTTTAATATCATATAAATTAACCGCAGAGGGCCAGAAAGATCACCAGACATAAACAGTTCCATGAACCTAAAAGGTCCTTCCTGATACTTATTAACTGAAAGTGAAAGTTAGCCACCATAAGCACCACTCCTTTGACCACAACACTTCAAAGTAATTTAGAAACCCTATCTCAGTGAGGTTAAATAACACACCCATTTCTAAACAAGTCTGGCAGAATTAAAAACAGAAGTTAACTCTTCTTACCCTTCTAGACAGTCTAAGACAGCGCCTTTTGAAAGGAGACAACCAGCAGGATCATGGAGATCTCAAAACAACCTGGATATATAGGCTACAATTAAAAGTCCTTAACTCCTTTGAAGCTAAAGATCACACAACTTTTTACTAGCGTTACATTTACACACTGCAAGGAGTCCCTAGCATCTTTTTGTCGCCAAAACACGACACACAAGAATAAAATTATCTGCCCAAGGTCACAGAGCAGGTAATGGCTGTCTGACTCCCAACTACTTAAATGAGCCCCTCTTCCTGTGTGCAACCATTCATGGGATATACCGACAGTAACAATCAGTTAGACTTCTAAAGGTGGGGAGGGCGAGGAGGGTCTCCACTGAATGCTTCAGATAGGAAAATCTGGTGTATCTCTGCAGATATTGCATATTTTAATTCACTGCCCTTTAAAATTCAGCATACATGGTGCATTAAAAAGACTCATCAAGAACTCAAGATCAAAGGGGTTCAGAAACACAATTTATCCTACCACACCAACCTCTGGACATTCTTCTTCTCAGTGCCCCATTGAGTCTCTGGACAAAGAACATGTCTGTCCATCCCTCACCCTACCCAACGCAGTAAGGTAAGAACGACAGAGTGCCTCCCGATAACGTGGCACAGAACACACAGTGCTCAGGGTACCCCAGAGCCTATTCCCTGGTCACCTCCATCCCAACTTTCTGGGAGAACACGCCTCCTTCTGCAATGCTGCTAAGTCTGCCCCTAGCCAAGTAGACCCACCCCTCCGACGCGCTGCCCCCCTCAGAATATTCTCATTCCCTCCTTGGCCAAATATCCCTTCCCTGCTCTTACTGAGAGATACTCCCCACCTTGGCCGGGAGCGGTGGCTCACGCCTGTAATCCCAACACTTCGGGAGGCCGAGGCAGGCAGATCACCTGAGGTCAGCAGTTCGAGACCAGCCTGGCCAACATGGTGAAACCCCATCTCTGCTAAAAATACAAAGAAATTAGCTGGGCGTGGTGGCGGGCGCCTGTAATCCCAGCTACTCGGGAGGCTGAGGCAGGAGAATCGCTTGAACCTGGGAGGCGAAGGTTGCAGTGAGCCGAGATCGCGCCATTGCACTCCAGCCTGGGCAAAAGAGCGAGACTCCGTCTACCCGCCCCCCGCAAAAAAAAAAAAAAATAGAGACACTGCCCCCACCTCTGGACAGAGGGCATTCCCCCAACAAAAAAACCGCCTCTCCCTGTATCCTAACTTGATGGACAGCTCCCTTCCCCTCACCGAATGCTCAGCAGCCACCTCGAGCCCTGGGGCAGGGGGCGGGGTGTCGGGTGCGTTCACCCTACTAGTCTAGGCTTGCCTGATGGTTAGTTACCGGTTACCACCCCGCCGAAATTGCCGCCTTGCTGGTTTCCCTGCTTGGGACACACACGCAGCGCCGAGGACCGGCCCTGGAGGCCAGCTCCACGCGGGGTCCCCGCTGCCCCAGCCACGCCCCTCGGCCGCAGCCCGCAGCCCCCCGCGCCACGCCCCCGCGCTCACCCGCAGTCCGGGGCCGGGCACCAGCGGCAGTCGGGGTCCGAGGCTAGGTAGCGACGCAGCATGAACTCCTCGTACTTGTGCATAAGCGGCGGGTCGGCGAGCAGCAAACGGATGTCGTGCGGGTTGAGTCGCTCGCTGCACTCGGGGCAGCTGATGGGCACCCTGCTCTCGCTTATCTCCAGGCGCAGGTAGTGGCGGAGGCAGTCCCGGCACGAGCGGTGCGGACAGCTGAGGAGGCGCGGGGCCAGCTCGGGCGGCAGCCGCACCAGGCAGAGCGGGCACTCCACCTCCTCCGCGCCTGGGCCGCCGCCCTCCGCCGCCTCCTCATCGTCGAACCCCGGCTCCGCCGCCGCCGCCGCCGCGGCCTCCACCTCGGCCTCGGCGGCCGGCTCGGCGGGCAGCGCCTCGGGCGGCGGGGCCTGGGCCGCGGCAGGGGCCGGGGCGGGCAGCGGCGGCGCGGCCGGGGGCGGCGGCTCGGCCTGCGGCTTGGCCCGGGAGCGGCGACCGCGGGCCGAGGCGGAGAAGACGCTGTGGAAGGTGAGGCGCCGGCGCCGGCCGCTGTTGCGGCACTTGGGGTCGGGCGCGGCCGCATGTAGGGATGTGGAGCGCGGCGACTCGGAGTCCTTTTCGGAGCCCATGACCCGCAGAGGCCGAGGGGCCAGGGGCGCCCAGCGCCGCCACAGCTCCCGCCTCAGTGCCCCTCAGCCAGCGCCCGGCCGCCGCCGCCACCGTCTCAGCCGCCCTCCTGGAGCTAGAAGCCGAGCAGCAACGACGAAGTGGTTATAAAGCCTCCGCCCCGCGCGCCGCTGCCCTGCGCAGGCGCTTCGCTCAAACACCTCACAACCCTCGCGCCCCGGTCGAGGGGTGCGCTGGGCGGGGCCGAGCGGGGTGGGGCCGGGCGAGCTGGGGCGGAGCTCCGCCTCCTGCAAGTCAGCTGGTTCCAGGGTCGCCATGTTGCGGAGACTGTGAGCCATCCTAGCCCACTGCTCTCCCTCGTCTCCGCCCCCAATTCCATCACGTCGACACTCAAGGTGGACTTTTTCGTTTGCGGTTCCTCACAGGTTGATTGCCACTTCCAGTAAATGATGGTTCAGGTACATTATTTATAAAAAGTACACAGGGGTTGTTCAGATGGTGACTCCCAACTGGTCCACCTTCCAACATTTCTGTTTATTAAGCAGACAGCAGTAATTAATAAAGAATATATTCATTCATTGAGCTTCTGCAAAGTGCGAGGCATTACTAAATGAAACAGATAAGGTCCCCCATTGCAAGGAATTTACAGAATAAAGTCCAAATTTCTTAGTCTAGCACTGTTCTCTATGTATTTAATAAACTCTATGTATATAATAATCTATTTCTAGGCTCACTTACCATTCAGTCCTCCTGGTATCTTGCTTACTTACCCAAACTTGTGGAAGGAGACCCAGCGTTTTCTTGCCTGGCAGTGCCTTTGACTTTCTTTTTCTAGTTCCCCATTCCTCTGACTGGGGGAGGATCTGGACCCTTAGGCTTCCTAGTGGGAGGCAGGCAAACAGATTGAACAACAGGAATGAATCAGGATTACATTCAGTTGCAAATAACAAAAGAAAAAAATAGCTTACGATTGAAATTTATCCTTTTTTTTTTTTTTCCCCCGAGACAGTTTTCCTCTGTCACTCAGGTTGGAGTGCAGTGGCGTGATCACAGCTCACTGCAGCCTCAACCTCCCAAGCTTAAGCAATCCTCCTACCCCAGCCTCCGGAGTAGCTGGGAGCACAGATGCGCCACCAGGCCTGCCTATTGTTTTTATTTTTTTCGTGGAGATGAGGCCTCCCCGTGTTGCTCAGGCTGGTCTGGAACTCCTGGGTTCAAGTGATCCTCCTACCTTGGCCTCTCAAGGTGCTGGGATTACAGGCATAAGCCACTGCACCCAGCCAGAAATTTCTCTCTTTCCATGAAATTTAAGTCCAAAAGTAGGCAGTTCAGGGCTGTTCAGCCATCCTCAGTATTTGGCTTCCAATGTTAAGGTCACCTCACTATGGTCCATATTCCAAACAGTGGGAAGGAAAAAGGGAAGAAAGATGCATCCTCTTCCTTTTAAGAAGACTGCCTTGGGGCCGGGCGCGGTGGCTCACGCTCATGCCTGTAATCCCAGCAGTTTGGGAGGCCGAGGCAGGCAGATCACGAGGTCAGGAGATCGAGGCCATCCTGGCTAACATGGTGAAATCCCCTCTCTACTAAAAATACAAAAAATTAGCCGGGCGTGGTGGCGGGTGCCTGTAGTCCCAGCTTCTCAGGAGGCTGAGGCAGGAGAATGGTGTGAACCTGGGAGGCGGAGGTTGAAGTGAGACAAGATCGTGCCACTGCACTCCAGCCTGTCCAGCCTGGGCAACAGAACGAGACTCTGTCTCAAAAAAAAAAAAAAAGAAAGAAAAGAAGACTGCCTTGGAAGTCCCGCACATTTTTGTTCACATCTCATTGGCCAAAACATATTCACATGGCCATACTCAGCTGCAAGGGAGCCTGGGAAACATTCTCTTAACTGGGTACAATGTGCCCAGCTAACAATGACTGTTCTGTTATTAATAAGGAATGGTAAGATGGGCCAGGCGCTGTGGCTCACACCTGTAATTACAACACTTTGGGAGGCCTAGGCAGGTGAATTTCTTAAGCCCAGGAGTTTGAGGCCAGCCTGAGCAACATGGCAAAACCCCATCTCTACAAAAAATAGAAAAATTACCTGGGTGTGATGGAGTGTGCCTGTAGTCCCCGCTACTTGGGAGACTGAGGTGGGAGGAATGCTTGAGCCTGGGAGGTTGAGACTGCAGTGAGCTGTGATTGTGCCACTGCACTTCAGCCTGGGTGACACAAAAAGACACCGTCTGAAAAGGTGGAAACCAGCTGTGATATTTAAAACCAGGTCTCCAGAACTTCAAACTTTTGACATAAAACAAGAAGGGGAGCCAACAAAGAAAACTGAAAAGCAGGGGCCAGTGACATAAAAGAAAAATTAAGCAGGCATGATGTCACAGACACCAACATAATATGTTCCCAGAAGGGAGTGGTCAATTGTGACAAACGCTGCTGAGAAATCAAGAAAGATAAAAACAGAGATGTGACCACTGGATTTGGCAACACCAAATAGTCCTAAAGGAGAGGGAGAGTTTAATCCTCAAATAGGAAGGAGGTTTGATGCTGGATGGCTAAAACAACAATTAGTGTCCATATTTATCTGGCAGAATAGGGTAGACTTGGCTATGGTAACAAACGAGCCAAATATCTCAATGGCATAACACAACAATGGTATATCTTTTCCACTCATGCAAAGCTGGCTATGGGTTAAGGCACTCTCCAGGGTAGCTGTCCTCAACTCTCCTGGGTAACTCAGAGATCCAGACTACTTCTCTCTTGGGCTCCACCATCTCAATGCAAAGCTTTCAGTATTGCCTCAAAAAGACAGCTGGAGGCCGGGCACGGTGGCTCACGCCTGTAATCCCAGTACTTTGGGAGGCCGAGGCGGGTGGATCACCTGAGGTCAGGAGTTCGAGACCAGCCTGGCCAACATGGTGAAACCCCATCTCTAAAAATACAAAAGTTAGCTGGACATGGTAGGGGCGCCTGTAATCCCAGCTATTCAGGAGGCTGAGGCAGGAGAATTGCTTGAACCCGGGAGGTGGAAGTTGCAGTGAGCAGAGATTACACTACTGCACTCCAGCCTGGGCAACAGAGCAAGACTCTGTGTTAAAAACAAACAAACAAACAAAAACAAACTGCAAGGGAAGCTGGGAAATGCAGGAAGAAACCGTAAGCCATTTAGTAAGCAGTAGTATCATCTCTGCCACAGTTCTCTATAGCCATATTTGACTCTGTTCTCAGTGTGCAAGGTCCTAATCAATTGCAGATCCCCCTTAGAGGAGGTATATATGGTGGGAATGGAAGGTGGGAGAGAAGGCTGCCTTGTTTCTTGGGTCAGATTGTGCTAAAAGATATGGGGACCCCCAATTGCAGGTAGATCCAGATGCGTTTTAGATGCTTCTCCTTGTGTAGCTGACAGAAACAGCTGTCAGAATCCCAGCTTGCTGGAAGGCTCAACACTACCAAATGTTTGCTTGTCTTGGCTCTGGCTTCCAAACAAATTCGGCCTCAGTTCAAAGCTGCCACCATCAGTGCTTTGGGGGAAATCACCTCTCTTAAATGCCACTAGACTTTGCAATGGCCCCAATTCGATTGGGTTTTCTTCTTTCCTGAGACTATCACCCTTGAATAAAGGGACTAAAGCAATTCCTCCCACATTTCCTTATGTGTCTCTTCTTGATAGAAACTGAGTAGTGACTCAGAGATGGCATGAGGGAGAAAAAGATTCTCACTCATCTGTACACTCATTCAGTAAAGATTTCTTTTTTTTTTTTCTTTTCTTTTTTTTTTTTTTGAGACGGAGTCTCGCTCTGTCGCCCAGGCTGGAGTTCAGTGGCTGGATCTCAGCTCACTGCAAGCTCTGCCTCCCGGGTTCACGCCATTCTCCTGCCTCACCCTCCCGAGTAGCTGGGACTACAGGCGCCCGCCACCTCGCCCAGCTAGTTTTTTGTATTTTTTAGTAGAGACGGGGTTTCACCGTGTTAGCCAGGATGGTCTTGATCTCCTGACCTCGTGATCCGCCCGTCTCGGCCTCCCAAAGTGCTGGGATTACAGGCTTGAGCCACCGCGCCCGGCCTCAGTAAAGATTTCTTATACTTACTTTGTGCTAGGCTCTTTGCCAGCTACCAGGGTCATGGATATGAAAAACATAATCTACTGGGGGTTGCAGACAAGATGGTAGATCACTGAGATACCAGGTGATGAGGACAAATACAAAAAAGCTATGACAGACCAACAGAGGGCATGGCAAGCTCTGCTTAGGGTGGTCAGGGATGGCTTTCCTGAGGAGGAGCCCTTTGAGCTGGATCTCAAATGATGAACATGAGTTGACAAAGTCATAAGAAGGGGAAAGGACATTCCAAGCGTGGGGAGCAGGGAGGAAAGGCAGAGTGTGTATAAACACAGGCTAAGTCTGAGGAAGTATGAGCAGCAGGGTTGACAGGAGAAGAGAATGTTTGAAAGGACATGAGCAAGAAATGAAAATGGAAAGGTTCTGGCCGGGCACAGTGGCTCACGCCATAATCCCAGCACTTTGGGAGGCTGAGGTGGGCAGATCGCTTGAGGTCGGGAGGTTCGAGACCAGCCGGGCCAACATGCAGAAACCCTGTCTCTACTAAAAATACAAAAATTAGCCAGGCGTGGTATCACTCACCTGTAGTCCCAGCTACTTGGGAGGCCAAGGCACAAGAATCACTTGAACCTGGGAGGCAGAGGGTACAGTGAGCCAAGATCGTGCCACTGCACTCTAAGCCTAGGCGACAGCGTGAGACTGCGTCTCAAAAAAAAAAAAAAAAAAGAAAAAGAAAAAACCAAAAAAGAAAATGTAAAGGTTCTGTATTATGGCTCCATTGGATGCAAGAACCAGAAGCCTAACTTGAATGAGGCTAGGCCAAAGGAGTGATTTTTGGCTTCTATAACCTTTTGAACCCTATGTACCACAGCAGCTGCACCCAGGAAAGCCCCCAGATCCTGCACTCCATCATTCATCTTTGCTTCTCTGCATACTAGCTTCTTCTTTTTTTGTGTGTGGTAAAATATACATTTTAACCAATGTATATTTTATATACATCTACCATTTTAACCAATTTTAAGTGTACAGTTCGGTAACATTAAATCAATTCATATTATTGTGCAACCATCACCACCATCCATCTCCAGAACTTTTTTGTTTTCCCAGCTTGGAATTCCATAGACATTAAGCATTAACTCCCTCTTCTCCCCACTTTATTTTTTCAGTCTACTTTTCTCTCTTGCTGGAACTGTAGAATCCCTAGCTTACGTGTCCTAGCTTCCTCACCAGAGAGGAGTAATTATCTTCACTTTGTTCCAGATTCTCAAAATTCTTCAGAACAAGTCTGATTGATGAGGTTTGGCTGCATACTCACTCACATCTGTGGTCATGGGGGATGGAATACTATGATTGATAGGCCGTACCCGAACCATACAGCTGGACCAAAGGGAGGAGCAATTCTCCAAAAGGAAGGAGCTACTTTTTCACAAGGAAGGAGGGAGGGGCCAAACATGAGTAGATGAAATATGAAATGTTCATCAGAGATAGGCTGAGACCCAGCTACAGGAAGCCTTGAGTGCCAGTTGAGGAGCTCAGCCTTTAGTCTAGGAGGTATTATGGGACAGTTTAAATCAAGGAGAGCCATACATACAATGAAATTGGACTACAAAACCTGCTTTTTTTCTTACTTGAGGCTCTACTTTTCTTTTTTTTTTTTTTTGAGACGGAGTCTCGCTCTGTTGCCCAGGCTGGAGAGTGCAGTGGCTGGATCTCAGCTCACTGCAAACTCCGCCTCCCGGGTTCACGCCATTCTCCTGCCTCACCCTCCCGAGTAGCTGGGACTACAGGCGCCCGCCACCTC